TAGAGGTTTTCTTTAATATTTAACTCATGATGAATTTCACACGGGAAAGCCAACAAAATATAAATATAGCTCACAAAAGGTAGGAGTTGGTTATGAAATTCTATTAATTGACATTAGATTTCCTTGGGTTCAAATATTGCTAAAATTGTACTTTGTTAAACTTTTAACTGAATATCCAAGTTTGCCCTCGTGATACATATAAATTAATTAACACATTACAAACTCACAATACAAACTAATCACTAAACTAAATTACAAACTAAACATTATCAACATAAAATTAAAATAAGCTTGCACTGAAAATTCGAGAACTGTTACCTAACATTATGCCAAAGCTCCCCAGCAAAGCGAATAGCATTTTTAATCTACTCCAAAAAATAATTTTTTTTAAAAGAAGAAAAGAACGAACAAACAAAACGTTTCCCTCCGCTTTTTGGATATTGGCATAAGGCTTCCATCGTATATGAAAAAATATTCCACAGAGGATAAACCAAAATATCATTTTTTTTTTAAGAAATGCAACAAATGACCTGAAGAAAAAGAAAACAGAAACCCCCAATTTTTCTTTGTATAGGATTGGAAAAATTGTATATCAATTCAAATCCAAAAACTACAGTTAATTGTTTATTACATCAATAACCACTAATCCCAAAAGAATGCAAGAAAATTCCCAAACAACATGGGATCACCACAAGGTCAGTTATCATTCCTTACCGTTTTACTTTCCATACTTGTTGAATCATCACTATACCCCTGCACCGCCAGTCTTCAAGATTGATCCAACCATTCCCAACACTAAGAAGGCTACCAGCGGACTTAAATCCAAGGTATTACCAACTGGTGGAATGATGTTCCTGAACAGATTCAAATATGGATCACAGAGACTCCTAATTGCTGGAAATGGTTGTTTGTCCCAAGGAACATTTGGGAACCAACTGAGCAAAACCCTAATCATTAACACCCCACTGTAGATATCAAGCCATTTGGATAACCCAGCAGCTACCACCACTGTCATTGGTGTGTTCAAGGGCCCACTTAGCTGGTTTGAAAGTGATGCAAAGCATAACGGTCCCACACCACATAGAAGATTGCCTTGTAAAGATTGAATTGCAGCAAGTTCTTGGGGTTTGGGTTTCAGGGAGATTGAGTGAGAAATTTTGAGAGCAAGTTTTTGTATTGCTTTGACAAGGAGAATGGAGGCAGAAAGGGTTAGGGATAGAAGCATTCTGAGGGTATGATTTGACTTATTGATCAAAGATTGAGTTGGTGTTTGGGTATTTTTTGAGATTATGGTTGGTGGAGAAACAGAAGCCAGAGTGATGAACCTAAGTTTCTTGCTGTGGGGCATGGAGACAGAAGACAGAGGTTTATGGCAGGTGGAGAGATGTTTAATAGTGGGGGGAGGCATCATAAGATTTCTCGCAGGAAGATGGACCAAGGCCTGGAGGAAACTGCTTTGACTGAGCAACGCCATATTTTCCCCTTTGAAATTTCTCAAGGGATAAAGACAGGCCGGTTTTCCAACAAAAATGACTATGCCTGCAAATAAAAAGATTTAGAATGTCCAAATCAGTCTCAACTCTAATTACCAACGTGCAACTAAACAAATTTAGCTCATAATGAAATTCTTTGAGAATAAACAAATCAATTACTAAACAACGAAGGTATTGGTAAGATTCTAGCAGTGACGGTAGCCGAAGGATCTCCCAAATGGACCTATAGCTCTGGGACTACAAAGCTAAAAAGTGCAACCAGTTCTTCAGTTAAATTTTCATAATTGCAATTTAATTTTTCATTATCATGCAACATGTAAAACTTACATATTTTTTATGATCAAATTCTTAATTATTCTTCCCAGGAACCTGCTGTAAGTGTGCTGGTATTATAGGGGCTAAACAAAGTATCATGGGGCCTGAGGAAATAACCACATTATATTTTGATTTACACATCCATAATAGAAAGTAAATGCAAAATTTTTAAAATCTAAGTGAAAAAATTTAACTGCTATAAGCAATTATAAAAATATAAATGCAAATGAAAGATTTTGGTTCATGTGACACAAGCCATCAAGTGGGCATACAAACGAGTAAAAAACATTAAAGATGCATTTTTGGCATACATGATTGCTTCAAACCCATCAATAGCTTTAAAACTTTACAAAATAAATTAAAAATGCAGAGAATCAATTTAACATAGAAAAGATGAAGATCATTTTAAAATTTTATTCTGAAAATAGAGTAGTTCCCTGGAAAGTGAACTGTCCCTTGAAATCTCAAGAAAATCCTGACACAACTTCTAAACTCAAAGACCCAAAACTACCAAAAATGACCATTACTTAAGTATATTTCATATAACAACAATCTACTTTGACTTCTAGCATCAAGCTAAAACATAGAATTACACAAAAAATAAAATCGTGGAGTAACTCATTGTAGCCAACAAAAATGTTGACTAGATTTTTACAATTCTAAGCCATAAATTTAGGCAAAATGCAGTTTCAAAACTATGCATAAGTAAAATGCAACACTTAAGCCTAATGCACACAAATTTAATTAACTTTAATTAAAACTAATAATATATAATTAATTCCATTAACTATACACTAAACTAATCGTCATAATCATTTTATTTTTTATATATATTTTGTTTTTAATCCATTATAATGCCTAAACTAAACGGGTCAAGTAATATGGTCCAAGCACCTAAACGGGTAAAAACAGATCCAACAGTACACCGCATATTCAGGATTTTAGGGTTCATAACATATTTTCCAGAATTCTACAAAATCCCGCAATCTCAATACACAAACGTGAATCTAACAATGCATATCACTTTAATATCAATATCTTCAATTTATTCCATGGTAAATCAAAATCCAGAAACCAGAACAGGAAAGAAAAAGGAAATCAATGGCGGAGTTCTGAGGAAAACAGGTCCGGATCCGATCAGAGGGATCCCACCCACGGCACCAGACTCCGAACATCACCTTCACTGCCTTCCCCATCTTCCTTCTGTTTAAGGTTTATACCTAGGGAAGCAAACAGACGCCTGGAACAGATGCCGATCTCCTCCCTCTGCTCTTCTACCTTCCCACAGCGAAAATAGCAAAGCCCTACTTCATGGTCGCCTAAATCTCGCCGAAAGTATGCCGGAAATCGCCCTTTTGCTCTCCCCCACTCTACCGTTGCTGTTTCTGCAGAAATCACAGAGAGCGCAAGCTGGTAATTTCTGGGATTTTTATCACTTTTGTGCGGCTGTCCCAGAGATGAAGGACATGAGGTTTTCTGTGGTTTTGAGTAGAGGGAGTGGCTGTTTGGGGGTAATCAGTGAAGATGATGCGATCGGAAAGATGGCCGGCGAAGCCGGTGACCAGATGAGACGAAAATCGGGGATCTTGAAAAGTGGGGACGGTTGGAGAAAAGAAGAATTTTTCTGCGTGGTTGCCTCCCTTTTCCGAATTCCCTCTTGCGTGCGGCTAGGGCTAATTTTTTTTTTTTTTTAATGAAGCTTTTTTTGGGTCCGAATGGACCAGACATCTGCCTGGGCCGAAATAAAGACCCGCTGAATTTTTTTTTTCCTCTTTTTCAACTCTTCAAAAATTTTTATCTTGACGGCCCCCGCTTCAAAATAAATTCTGGTGACATAAAATTAAATATGTTAAGATTTATAAAAATATAATTTTTAAATATTATAAAAATTTTATTTATTATATAAATTATATTTTAATTATATAGAAAATTTTTGTAATAAATTTTTAATTGATAAATAAATACCAATTAAATTTTAATACTTATTAAACTTTAAAAAAATCTTTAATAAATATCTAATAAACTTTAAAAAATAATAAATAATTTTAAGAATTGAGAGAGTAAAAAATAAATAATTATAAGAAATAAATTTAAAATATTATATTATATAATTATATAATAATCTACCATATAAACTTCAATTAATATTAGGGTGTAGTTCTCACAATTAAATTGAATTTCTAACAATAATATTATATAAATCTTATTGTTAATCACAAGACTATATTATTATAATTATATATATCCCAGTTAATATTAGGATGTGAGTCCCATAATTAATATCTAAATGAATGCAGACAAGTCTTACCAAAACAGAGAATGTGTGGTTCGAGTTTGAGATAAAAGGCATAAATATGACATAAGGACCCAAACTTA